AGACCCTCTACCAAATGACGACAGGGACATGCCATATTTCTTCTTGGCTGATGATGCGTTTGGGATGCGGACCAACTTGATGAAGTCCTACTCGAAGCGCAAGATGACCAAAGAGCAGAGGATCTACAACTACAGGATATCTAGAGGGCGTCGCGTTGTGGAGAACGCCTTTGGCATCCTTGCCCAACGTTGGCAGATTCTCCTGACCACCATGCAGCATGAACCTGACACTATTCGACTCATCGTCGAGGCCTGCGTCTGTCTTCATAATTTAATGAGACTGCGTTAACCTGCCATTCAGAATGCTGCCATGGATGTGGAGGATGCCAACCATCAACTGATCCCAGGTACTTGGAGGGTTGATGCAAACATGCATGAGGCGAACAACATTAGAGGGAACAACCGTGACAGCATTGCAGCCAAGAAACAACGAGAATACCTCAAGCTGTACTTCAATTCACCTGCAGGCTCTGTGCCCTGGCAAGACAGGATGATATAAAAAGACTTCAAAAAAGTTCCAAAAAAGACAGTTCAAAGGTTCACAGTACACAATATTGTATGTTTGAAGTAATTATGGTAATGTAAATTAATGGTATGGTATAAATGGTATGGTAATATAAATGCCACTGCGCTTTGGTGAAGTCCGGGAGCGCAAAGCGGTCGCCGGCTGATCGCGGTAGTGATCGTGTAGGTGTGACATGGTTATCAAGAGGGTTATCAAGAGTCCATAATAGAAATAATAGTCCATAATAGTCTTTTATTATTAACATAAAAACAAATATCTATTCATTAGCCATTTGTCAATTTTCCACTACCATCTTTTTTTCTAATTTCATTCTCCCTTCCTAGTTCTTCTGTGCACAACATACTTTTTCGAAGCGTCGCAGTCGGTTTCACTCCACCAGGTGTCGATATGGTCGTACCACTTCACAGGTGCATTCGCGTCGTGCAATGCTTCGCACAACCTACATACCTCTAAATGTTTTGGCTTAAAAAACACTTCACCCAGTTGCTTCCACCTGAAGTATCTACTGTAGGCCACATCGTCGGCGTCCAGTTCCTGTAGGTAGTTAGCCAGCTGTTTAACTGTTTCGAAGTCGTCGACATGTATGTAGGAGCCGGGAGGAGCGAAGCGCCGCAAATCCTCGCGTGGCGCCCCCATCACTATGGCAACGGAGTTGGTCTGCAGGGCGTTCCTCCAGAACTTCTCCGTCATGTATTCCCTGCAGTTGCTGTTCTCGAAGGCTAGGTAGAACTTGTAGTGGCTTATCANACGCACACACACACACACGCACACAGAATATACACGAAGAAACAGAGTAAAAAATGAAAGAAAGTGATAGAATTCAAAGAGAATGATGAGGATATTTAGGACTAGAGTCTCTAGTAGATATATAGTGAGAGTTAAGCAGCCTCAGAGGTGATAAGAGTCATGCAGAGATAAAGTGAAATAACGTTAGAGACGGAGAGAGAGAAAGTGGAGAGAGAGTGGGTGCGCCGAGCGAGCTAGCGTGCGCGTGTGTATGTATGATAGAGGACAGAGAAGGGGACGTGAGTCAGGAGAAAAAGTAGATATTGCTTCGTGTATCTGCCAACCTCAGCGTGATTCTAAGAACGACCGCTTGGTGGTGCGCAGCGCATTATCAAGATGTCAGCGCCCATGTTGGTGCGCATATATGCATGGTTCGAAGTTATTGAGGACTGAAACATGTCCTGCATGTTAGGAAAAAGCATAGTGATCAAATATGGAATAAGGAAACTAAATAGTAGTATTCGTGCTGCAAGTGAAGATTTAAATAGTTGCGCACATCTATGCGAATCGTGCAACCGTCTTAAATCTCACGTCTTTAGTAAGTACTGTGAAAAATACTAATATTAATAATAGTATTACTACTAAGTAATACTAATACTAGTAATACTAATAGTAATAGTTATAGTGTGTAGGATCATGATTGATAAGTAAATGATCACTCTACTTCAATTCTTGTGGTGCATACCCCTATGTTTAAGTTGTTAAAATCTCAAAGCAGCATAAAGGCGACAAGTGTAGAAACACGAAAACAATGTTACCTATTTAGTTGAAGTATTAGTTCTAACAAAAGTGGTTCACATGTGTTCACCCGCCTACGATGTACCTAGTGCTAGTAATTCTACTACTAGTATTAATAGTATATTCCATGGGGATCAATGATAGTTGGGACCCCGCAAATGTGTTTGTGCATATGCGCTAAACTAATCGGGGGTGCTAAACTATAGGCTTGGACCGTATGTGACAGTAAGATTCTTAGCTAGACTATATACTGTAGTTAACATGATGCTTTAGGCCATGCATGCACTCTAGCAGCATTGCAGTACTAGACATGAGGTTTACCGATTACACTAAAATTTAATAAATATATGCCTTTTCACAACTTCGTAAGGTTCACATTACCATTGGTTTGTTTATTAAAGGTCCTGGAAGCAATACAACTGGCGCTGCCAGGCGCTTGTATTCTTCTGCCCCTCATCCAAAATGTAAGAACTCTCCATCAGTGGTAAAAGAAAAATCCACACCAAAGGGAAAGTCACAGCGAGTCAATGAACACGAATCTGCATCTGCGCTACAAAGAAGTGAAGGTTCTTCCACGCAGGGCAGCAGTGCTTATAATAAGCTACTGTCCTGTAAGTATATGCATACACTTTATTAATTGCTCTGGCCCAAAATTATATCAACATGTCGAGAGTCGTACACATTTCAAGTGTGCCACGTGATTGCAGTCACTTAGTGTTTTTTGTTTAGTTTCCACAACAAGAACAAACTAAAATCGAATGTATCTATTAGCTGCCTGATTAATGTAGGTGAGCAGCACTTCGTAATCATTTGACAATAATTTCTTAATAATAAACACATATGGCAGCGCTAATTTACGCGAACATTTTTGCGATGTTTGTTGCAGTGCTGGATTGCAGGTTAGAGCAGCTGATCTATCAGGACGGCGATTTGAAGACATCTCTGCAGAGACAGCTGTGGCAGAAGCGGTCGTCGAAGGTACAGCATACTCTTGCTCAGCTCAGTCGTCTCTATGGAGAACAGCAGGTGACCACGCACGAGCATGCAGAGGAGGAAAAATGTGACGTCGCTCACAAAAAACCGCAGCAGAAGAAAGCGCGTGAACGTACGGACAAGGAGAAATGCAGCGTCGTGCACGGGAAACGGCAGAAGGCAACTACGCGCGAGCGTACGGACGAGGAGAGACGCAGTGCCGGGATCGAAAAACGGCAGAAGGTGACTACGCGCGAGCGTACAGAGGAGGAGAGGCGCGGTGCTGGGATCGAAAAACGGCAGAAGGTGACTACACGCGCGAGCGTACGGAGGAGGAGAGACGCGGTGCCACGCATGGCAAGCATGATGGCGGCTCACCTCGCACCGTGACCATGGCTGCCACGGCGACCAGCGACGTCCATCGGCACGGACAATCGTCCGATGCAGTCGCGCACGACGACGCGTATCCGATACACGCGGCGTCCGAGGACGACGCGATTCGTCGGGCAGCGCCCACGAAGCGACTCGATCTGAGCGTGCTGGGATACGATGAGTTCCGGTGCGATGAGATGGACGACTCGGTGGAGAACGATCTGCGGCTGGGTGAGGCGGCTGAGGAGCGCGATCACGAGCTACCTGCCGTAGTCGAACTGGGCTTCAACAATAACCTGAAGGTTTACGTCGATGCGTGCATCAACACTAAGATGGTGAGTGTTGGGGTTTATGCACGTCGTGGAAAACCTAAGGGTCGTAGAAATTTTTAATGCAATTTCCCAGGGGTCTGGAACGACTAGTAGTAGTAAATTCTGCGGTCTAAGAAATAACCGGAAAAATGATCATTATTATGTTTGGTCATGGACATTGGAACCGTTGAGTGGGCTTCACAAGTCAATGTTGTGGGAAAAATGATAGACTGTCACAAGTGGAGGTTTACTTTGCGGTGTTGTTATGTGTTAGGATGATGTGTATAAAAGAGTAAAGGAGAGATGTGTGGTTGTATTTATTCTCCAACATTTTGCATGTGGTGTTGTGTGGAAGGTGGAGATTAATATGAAATAAAAATGTAGTTTATTGATTTTTTATCACACAAATAATTTATCTTTGCGTCTTCATGCATCCCTGCATGCTGTTGGGAGGTGGGTTAGGATTAGTTGACCTTGGCTCACATGCGGGAAATAATATGTGATATTGCTGTTTTCCTCAGTTGTCACGGGCTCAAACTACAGTACGTTTTTATCAAAGAAGAGCAATTAAACATCCAAAGACAAACTGCAAGGTCTCTAATGTGGAAATCTTCAATCTGCTTGGGCATGCATGGGCTAAAAAGGTAACGTATAAAGTTTGGATGTGGCATGACTGTTGGTAGACGAACTCGCAAGAGTGGTTTGTATTTGTCGGTTGTAACTGTTTTAGTGCTCTGTTATTCCTCGTAGGGCAACATAGAGCGAATCAAGGAGGTGTTTCGTATGATGCGTGAGGGAGGTGTGTTGCCAAATCATCAGTCGTATGCGGCGGGTCTAGAGTGCCTAGCTAGGCAGGACATGTTTGACTGCGACCTCGGAGAGAGAATCCTCAGACAGATGGAGAAAAATGTAGGTGGCTATATTGTAATTTGTATGTATGCAATTTATCGTCCCAGTGAGCTTGTTGCTGCAAGTATTACCCTGCTGTGCTGCATAGCACTGAAGAAAGTACTAACGTTGATTGTAGAAATAGAAATTTATGCAATAAAAACACGAGTCGTATGAATCGAATATTATAAATTTAGACCAAACATACATGCATAATTATGAGATATATCCACGCTCTTTTTTTTAGATGTGCAGTAGAGATGAAGTCATTCATTTACGACTACATTTTTCGTAGATATATTTGAGTAATAGCCCTTTGATGGCAGTGATGCATGAGGCTTGCCTTGCTTTTACATGCAGGGTTTACAAGTTGAAGCTATCTTTAACAAGTGTGTGTTCCATGGGAGTGACAGAGAGAAGGTACATGAGGCAATACTTCGCATTAGACCCGGTATTGTGTTCAGCCTTCCGAAGGAATATGCGGGTTATGCAACAAAGCTGCTCACCCATCTTAATGTGAAACAGAACAAGGTGAGCTGTTCAACATGTTGTATGTTCCGACTCCTTTATACCCTGCATTTATTTTCCAGTTTTTCCTTTCCTGGTTTCTGTGATCGATGTTTGACTAGATGTTTTGCAAATGTTTTCTCAAAAGAGGAAATTATAAACCAGGTGATTATATGTACATGCTGTGTAAAAACTAATTCCTATGGTGTTGTTACCAGGTATATACTGCTGTTTTTAGATCAGTAAGGTATGGGCACATTGAGCAGGTTGCATGAGTTCGGATACTCAGTGGGTTAGCTTGATGATCATGATGTATGTACTTGTTGCTCAGAGTTGCCATGCCCATTTTCTTGCGTTCTTGACAGCATACGAGTACATATATGCAGAGATGCTTTGATGACCCTTCTCCTAGTTTAATGATGTAATATATGTTTTTGTACAATTTTTGATGCCCCTTCTCTCAATATGAAGATGCGATACATATCACGCTGTACAAACTTTGATGTTCCTTCTCCTGGCATGTCTGTGTAATACATTTTCCCAGCATGGGGATGTGATATATATGTAACTCTTGGACAATCTTTAAAGGCTCTTCTCTCTACGTGACACTGTAATGTGTAAATGTCATTCAGTCTTTGAGGCAGCTGTTGTTGTTGATAGTACAGGTGTGGCAGGACACTCCGTACCTGCAGCTGTTTACGGCGGCTGGACTAGCGCGACAGGGACGCTTGCAGTATGAGCACGAGGTCACCGGAGTGGTTGGGATCGAGTCAGTCGAGAAGAGGCCGCCACCGGATCGTCACACGCTGGAGATGGTGAGCTCTCTGTTAGACTGTCGTTGCCGCACATGTTGCAAGGTTTAAGGGAATTTTGACCACTTAGAGAAGTGCATAGACCTCTGTTTGTTCTATTGTCTATTGCATTTAACTTATGTATGATCGTCTAAAACACCTATCAATAAATTTGGCAACCCCCGAATAAATGATGAAAAAGGTATTGATATTGAATACGTGTACTCAACTGATGTATGAAGAAATGTATGATTGCTTAAGTGATCTGCATAAGTGTAGCTTTAGAAGGTACTTTCATTGTCTCACAGAGAAAGCTGCTTGCTGAGAATCAGATAAAGTGGAAGAAGGTGCTGCACACTGCCTTCGATAGAAACACAAAAGTACTGAGCAATAAGCTGTCAAGTGAGTATTCATTCACACAGTTATCACTGTCCGCTTCATTCGCACACACGACGTGTCATAGCATTCTAATTTCTATGTTAGTGTGTTCTGCATTCCAATGCTACTACTACCCTGATGCTCTTACATACGTCTCGGAACAGACGTAACAAGTATTCCGACGCATGCCGTTCCTAAGTAAGACCCAAGGTTGTTCAAATCGTCGCAAATTGTTCACGCTCGGATGATCCGTGCTGTAGACATTAAGGCGTGAACATACTAAGGATCCTGCATGTTGTTCGCACTGAGGATTCTGTTGTTCTTGCTCGCAAGATGTTCATCGTTGTTGCCGTTGCTCATTGCAGACACGAAGGCCGTGAACATACTGCCGTTCCTGCGTGTTCTCCGCACGGAGGAGTTCGTTGACGTCATGTTACAGGAGGTTCGCACGCTCGCGGAGTCGTCAGAGACGTTCAGTGCCGCGATGCAGACGCTGTATCGTGGCATGGGTCAGCGCGTGCTCAACCGCTACACAACACGCAGCAAGATCAGCAGCGGCCTCGCAGCCAAGGTAAGACAACAACAACAACAACAACAACAACAACAACAACGAAACAACAAAGATAAGATAAGATAAGGTATTGTAAGGTAAGATACAAGAAGGAAAAGTAAGATGATGTAAGGTAAAGTGAGGTAGCATCAAGATAGATGTGTCACAAAGGGCATTGCCACTCAGCATTGTTGTAGCGAGGAGAATAAAGGGAAGTTGCAATCTAGTCGAGCGTTTAATTGCCTATGCGAACCAACAAAAAATACGTCTGTTAAACCTAGTAATGTTTAGCTGTGTTATTTTGCAACTATATGCCTTAGTAATTAGCAAAGATTTTATGAAGCACCCTAAACGTATTTTTAATGCGATTTTGTAAAGGAACTATGTAAAAAACGCGTCTCGTGTGACGTCACACGAATGACGTAGATTTGGGTATCTATTCTCGGTAACTTGATAGGTAAATGGCTTAATTCCTAATTTGCATTAGTCCACTAGCAATCATTAAGAATAACGTGATGTTTATTTCATTACAGTACATACTACCCAGTCTTGTGCTAATGAAAAAGAATTGTAACAGTGTTTTATTCAATCGGTGAAGCAACTTATTAAATTAAATTATTATTATTATTATTTTATGTATAAGCATACAATATTTGTTTTGTTTTGGTTTTAGATTCAGAAGTTGTATGACGAGCACCTGCAATATTTCATTGATCCTGCGCTGACAAGTTCAATGAATCCAAGAGAGCACTGGCAAAAGTTGCTGGATGCCACACCAGAGGGGCCCACAGTGGTATGTGTGTGTATGCTTGTGTGCGTGCGTGCGTGCGTGCGTGCGTGCTGTGATGTGCGTGCGTTTGTGTGGGTGCTGTGTGGTGCGTGCGTGCGTGCGTGCCGTGCGTGCGTGCGTGCGTGCGTGTGTGCGTGCGTGCATGTATGCGTGTCTGTGTGTGTGTGTCTACAGTCATTTGCAGGTCACTTCCGCAAAAGACTCCAATCTGTGTCAGTGTAAACTAATGCATTGTTTAAGTCTTTCGTATTTTTAAATGCCACCACTGCTCGGTTGAACAGTTTTTGCATTTTTATGATCGTGAAAATATTCTCCGAAATTAATAACCTTGTTGTTTTTATGATGGCAGGATGTAGAGGACAGTGCATGGCCATACAATGTGCTAAATGGGGTGAGAATAGAACTCGATCATAATTATTCATTGTGAGATTATCAAAGATTAAACATTATTATTGTTATTGTTAACAAGATTACTCACCAGGCTGAATACTGACATTGTTGGATCGGATACACACATTTTCAAGATTCACATTATAAAATCAATATAAAGTAATATATGATGAGTTATATGTATACCAAATGTGACGAATATCGGATGGTTTTTCAATAGGTGGGGAAGTTTCTATATGACATCATCATTCATGAGATTAAGATAGATGTCAGTGCATCTAGGGGCAAAGGACCAGGGAAACTACCGCATATGCATGCCACTGGCCGTCTTTGACAGCAACGATCGTGACGAAATGTCGGCGTGCAAGTGAAGGAAGAAATAAAGGTTTGTTTTGCCAGTGGAAACTACGACCTCCAGTCACGAATCCTAATCTTTGTGTAATATTGACACCAAATCTGCAAGTAGCTATTAACGTGATAATATTGGGCATCCCTGAGGTGCTTAAATTTGAGT